AAAAAAAAAAAAAAAAAAAATATACCGACGAATTGAATACCTCCTTCTTTTGGGAAGTCGGTCAAATATAAATACAAACACATTTTTAATATAATAACTTAAGAGTTGGAGCTACTCCATTCCCATCAACATACAAAACGATCAAGTACCATTAAATACTTCGTTTTGAGACCATTGTCGGGGTGTTTCTATGATCGTTACAACTCATTCATATAATGCTTACTTACTGTTGTTGCGTAGTTACAGCGTTCTGTATCATTGACGATTGCAGTTGCCGTTAAAAATGCGTAAGCATTATAAGAGATTGCGTCACGTTGTTCAACATAACCACATGTTCTCGTACGTTAAGACAATAAACACGGTGTAATCATTGGTAATTGTCGACTGGTGGGAAAAACGGGTTTTTGTTCCCTCAAAGTCGCGGAAAGTCGCACTGGTGTACGTGAACTAGTTTTACGTAACGCAAGCAACTTTCCTTGCTCGACACCATCGTTGCACCGGTCTTACATACTTGTCAATTATGGTGATTTTTGTACACGAGGAGGAAATTACTGATAAATAGTGCAAACAATGGTCCTTACGTGTAGAATATAAAATAATTTAGATAACATCTCTATAAAGGAATATATAGTACTCGGACTATAATAAATACATATGTTTTACCATGCATTTCTTAGACTTGTCTTTGCAAGACATTAAATAATATTTACTATTAGTAATTTAATTAGTAGCATTGATGAATTTAAAAAGTTAGGAACTTCGAAGTAAAATTTGAATAGTAAATAACACGACAATCATAGTTAACAAACAAAATACAGGATGTAGAACATGTAGTTAGTTGAGTGTTACAGCCAAGTCAAAGTATTGCGTAGTTGTGTTCCTTATTGCTTAACTAGGAGACGTAAATGGTTCTGTGTCGTTACCGATAGATTAGGTATGTGCATTTCGCTTACAGTCGCAGGGACCGGCTAGCAATGAAGTTGATTAAAATTCCGAAAACAGAATTTAACTCCATTTGTATCGACTCGAGTAGAACCTGCCTATATTTACAGACTCGAATAGGCACCGAATCGACCAAGTAAAAACACAAGTGGGGTTTTTATTAATTCAATTAAAATGGAAATGAATTTACTAATGAATTGAGGAAATTAAACGCGTTTCGATTTAGTTTCTTCATTTATATGCTTTTCTTTCGCTTTACGTAAAAGAAAGAAAATAACTTGATAGTACTCGTTCTTGTTCTCGTTTATTGTCTTGGATCTGCGTTCGGCCACAATCAGTTTTAGATTAACCTGGTTTTAGAATTTTTATAAACATGTCGCAAAGCTGAACAATAAGTTCAGCATTATATACAACGCACAGCGATATTGTGAGCATACAAAACTTTCATTATTACATTAAAATTCTGAATATATATTTGAATAGCTGTCAGGGAAAAATAATATTGTTATAACATTGACTCACTTTCACATCTTTATAGTTGGCGACGATCTCTGAGGCAAAAGTGTTATTGCCGATGATGGGCTTGTTTTTAACGCTGGGGAAGATGATGCCACCTTTACGGCTAGCGGGGCGTTGACCAGAGTTGCCGGCGCCGCTTGTGGTGTTACCACTAACGTTGCTGGGACTGGTTGCCGCCATGGTCGTAGGAGAGTTTGTGCTACTCGAGCTGCTAGCACTGCTCGGGCTGGTCGGAGTGTTCAGGCTGCATGCGACATAACTATTAGACACTGTTTACAAAACGCACATACACCAGACAAAATGAGACAGACAAAAATTCGCAATACATTTCGCAAAGCGCAGAGAAATCGCCAACGACTTTATATTCGCAAAAATAAATATTTAGAGAGATATCACCTGTTATTGATTGTGGCAGAGAAGCTCGGCGAAGTTGTAGCTGCGACAGTACTCGTATTAGGATCAGTAGAAGGCTCATCATATCTATATCTGTTTGGAGCATATTCCACAAGCCTGTCAATCGTCGGATCCAGAAGCAGTTCTGCAGGCACTGGACGCTGGGCTAGCGTTGCGACGTCATCTTCTTGCTTCTTTAGTCGCTTTTCCACCATATCCAAATTTTCTATAATTAGATTTGTTTTAAGTCTCAGGTCGTTGTGAATTTGACCAATGGCTCGCTCTTGTCTTTGAGTTTGTGTAAGCAGCTCATCTGATTTTGGCACTAGATCGTCAACAGAACTTTTAGTACCAACAACTACATCCCAAACTTCATCCATTTTTTCTGACACGCTCATCATAGGAATAATTTTATTTACAAGTGTATCTATTTTACTCCCTTTTGAAATGGGAGATTGTGTACTTGTTGTTGTCCTGTTTTTAAAAATGTTATTAACATTTATTGAAGCAGAGTCAGGTTCAACAATAGCTGCATGGACATCTGCCATCATATACAGCACTTTTCCCAAATTTTCAGAAACAAGATTAATGTGAAATTGTAGCTTACGATCGACGGTAGACATTGAAGTTCTTAGTTGGTCGACTTCTTTTGTTATCGTATTAACTACTTCTGTATTAAGACCTTTCGCAATTTCTACAACGTTTAAATTGATCGGCTTCTTTTCGCTAGCTTCAGCATTAATATCATCGACTGGCAAGAAATTGTTGTCAATTTGATTTTTTAAGCCGACTAATTTTGAATCAATGTCTGATACTTTTTGATCTAAGGATTCTAACTTTCTGTCAAGTAATTGTGTACCGCTAATTTTATTTTCACTCTTTCTATTAACAGTCCTCTCAGTTAACACTTCTTCTTCATCTCGATTCAGTTGACTGAATAGTTTTAAATCGAGGCTTCCTAATTTTGAAATAATGGCATCAGTTTTGTGTATATTGTCATTAACACGAGAATCCAACGCTTCTACCCTTCGCATCAAATGTTCGACAGCTTTATCTAAGTTTTCTATCCTTTGTAATTTAGTCTCCAATGTACTCACAATAACTTCGAAGACGTTAAATATATATTGTTCCCTGAAACAAAAAGAAAAGAAATCTTCAATTATGTAACACGAGTATATGTGTGCAGATATGAAAAGTGATACAAAAATAAGAGCATTTAATACGATTAACAAGTTGTAATAAATTGAGTAAGTAATCGGTATTAAAGAAAGGAATTTGTTAGTGGTCCATAATGCAAGTTACCACTCTCTGTTGGTAATCGGAATTGAGTAATATTCAGAACAGGTGCAAGTTGTTGTAACTTTATCTGGAAATAGATCGAAAGGCCGTTCCGGTATGGAATTAGATTTATAACTAATGTTCTACAATACTTATTTTGGGTGTGCTTAATGTTTGGGTCTTTAGGATTACTGTACGTTAGCTAAGAGTTTACTGCCTGCGAAACTCCAGATCTCAAAAATAGATTACTCTTTTAAAAATACCTGCGATAACAAATCAATTTCAATGGCATATAGAGAATAATAGTGATTCTACCATTTCTCAAGACTATCTTTAGCCAAGCTGAACGATGAAACTAACGTTGTACAAATGGCTTAACAAGTTTACTCTCGTAACTAGTGTAATTTTCGTATATGATGGACGCAAAAAGTTTCCTTATATTTCTTTTAGTCTTATCATTTCTTAAGGTCTTTGCAAAATAACTTGGTACTTAATGTTATAGATTCATAAAGTAATATAGGATACATACATATGTCGTTTTTAATTGACACAGAAGATGTCGAACGTGCATAAAAATCACCTTATACGACGCAGTGTCATCAAGATCCAGGAAGAACATTCACAACGATGTTTCAGATAGTTAAAAACAGATTGTAAAGTAGTAATAACATCTTAAAATGCTAGAAGCAATGAGATATCTTACCTTATTTTCTGAAAATATCTATTGAATACATAAATTGAATAGCAAGCTCTTAATGCATCGACATATAAGGAGCTATCATTACGGATCATTGCTACTCGTTACACCGTTAAATGGGTCATAGGTATGTTTAGCTATTGGTAAAAAACATAAAGGTGTTTTATTTTATAATCACAGTTTACTTTAATTATACATTTGAGTAAACAAACGTATTATTGTGCTGTTGTTTTATTAAAATAAAGTCGTTCCATAAATTTTGTTGTTTAACGTTTATTTAGGAATATCGTATTTAATATTTTCAATCGGTACGAAAATGATAAGCTAAAATGTTTGATTGAAACAAAATTTGCAATAATTTAATAAATGTCTTGTTTTAGCGAGTGGGCACAGCTTGTCTCAACGGTTAGATGTTAAACGCAGTTAGAGTTACGCAAATATGTCTTAAAATTATACTGTCCGCAAAATAGAGCGTTCTGTTAGTGTTCAAGTTATTAAATCGGTCAGTGGCTGCAGCCTTTCGCAACCGATTATATAGATTATCTACGTAGTTGAATTTCTTCTTGACATCGAAATGCCTATGCACTAACTCGGCAGGTGGTATTAGTTATTTCCACATTTTGCAATATGAACCCAATTCAAGCGTAAAATACGACTGGAGACCGAAGTGTTTAACGCCTCCTACGTAAGTTGTATACTGTCTACAATTCCACTTGTATACTGGTAACTCATACTGTCGCCTATAAATTGATTATTATAAACTTAAAAGAAACATTCTCGTAATGTTCAATTCATAACAGTACTAAGCGACAATTACCTTAAAGTCATCATCTATAATATTTTGTAAAAATATACGTATAATTGTTTTCTTTTATGTAAGAATGGTCTAATCTCAGTACTTTAAATATAGTAATTGTATTTGGAACTAGACTTCACTCGCGACTACGTCTATGTCGAATTAAAAAAAAACAAAAGTGTAGTAGCCTATGTGTTCTTCCAGACTATCCTCTACATATATACCAAATTTCATCGAATTCCATTTAGCCGTTTAGGATTCAAACTCCAACATCCATCTATCTAAATTTTCGCATTTATTATAATAGTATGATTGACTATTTTTGAGGAAAACATGACATTTTAACAACTGAATGTCATAAAATGTATATATATCCAGTCGACTACAGCTGGAGCAATTTCAATAATTGCTCTCGGGTATACCATTTAAGAACATATAAATGTTTCTTGTAAGAACAAGTTCTATTAGTATAATTTATTCATATTAAAAATTAAATACTTAATAACATACTTCTATCGTCATTCATTGTAGTCACAATCCACGACATTAGAGAGTTGGTCTGTGATGGAAACGGGAATGATGTAAGGTATATACCAATTTAAATGTAAGTAATTAATATATGTTATTAAAACATTTAATGTTGGTATTATAAACAACCGAATAACATTATCGAAGAATTTGGATGATAAATAAATCAGTATCTATAAGAGATCACGTAAGGTTATCACGAACATATCAATCTATGAGAAAAAACATTGTCCATCGTATCTTAGATAATCATTTACTTTATTTCGCTATTTGAAACTCTACAAACATTTTTAAACTTGTTTCCGGAAGACATTTGTGTGTATGATAAATTTATAGAACTTTAATATTTACAAGGCCTACAAAAGAAATAGAAAATACAAAAAAAAAACTTAAAAAAACAATATAAAATCGTAAAATCATACTGATATTATAAATAAGAAAGCTTAGATAAATGGATGTTTGTTAGAGTTTGTAGTCTAAATGGCTGAACGGATTTCGATGAAATTTGGCATAGCTGTATAGGATAGTCTGAAAGAACACATAGTCTACATAGTTTTTTTTATTCCACGCAGATAGAGTCGCGGGTGAAAACAAGTATGATATAATTTCGAAAACGTATAACAGTCTCTGTCTTGTCAAAAATAATAAAAGGGATGATGACTGAAATAAGTCTCACAGCAGTAGTCATTAAGATTATTCAACACCTTTTTCTTTAAGAACGTTATTTATAAGGGAATTCACCTGTTAGCTGGCAACCCTATTCACAGGTTGGTATATTTAAGCGCTAACGATCTGAATGTGGCCCACGGCCTCGAGTATTGTATTTGTATGGTTAACGATAGTATTGCGGGCACTCGTGCCTCGCAACGCTTTGTCGTCAACTATTGTAATCTCAATATTCGTTCTCTAATAAACCTTAATTAGTTTCTCGTGTTTGGCCCGTAAAGGGACTAAATACGTGTCTTTGGATAGCTGTAAATAACACATTATTTATTCGTAAAGTTACTTTAAAGACAGTCGTAATTGTAGATATTAAAATGAACTATTACGGTTTTAACCAAGTTTTTATTTGCGTGATCGGATTTATACGTCTTCGAGATTTTTATTTCATTAATAATTATTGACAAAATTATTACAATTTCATATGAATAATGTAAAGTTAAAAGAAGATAAAAAATAATAACTTATATTTATAATATAAGTTATTATTTTTTATAATATAGTATACTCATCATCTGGTGCAAATCAAAGGTAAATGTAAATAGATAGATATATTACTTAGTGTTTGTATGTGTTTTGATTTTACAAATAAACATTAAGGGAATTTCGATGAAATAAATACTATGTATGATACATTAAATGAGTAATCAGAAAAGCAGAATTTATTTAATTCTAAAGTTGCAAATATAATCGGTTGTCGGTCAATATTCGAATCGATTAAGGGAAAAGGGGCCTTGTGACAAAGATATTGCAGGTCTGTCAATTATATGCGTTATATAAAACATAAATAACATTGATTTAAAACAGGTTTATCTAGCTATACATTTATATTGTCCTTCATATTATAATAATCTTGCATATGAACATATAGAATGTGTGCCTATTATATATAGCGATATATTAAATTTTTAATTATCTTCTGTAGACAATGACGCATTCTTTGCACAGATGCGTGAGTTTGCCGCTTTCCCTAAGCTGTTTGGAAAGAAAGTCTATAATATACGACGGTGAAAAAATATACGATTATCTAGGCTTTAAGTGTGAAAGATTAGTTTGTTATGGTATTGCGGCAAAATCATGGTAAACAAATACATTGGAGAGAAATATTAAAAATACACATGCAGTAATCTATAAAGACATGATAAATTATAAGATAAATGGCCAAATGTTTTAAATATTAAATAAATAAATAATTAAATAAAGATAAAAAACCTAATATTATAATTGCGAAAGTTTAGATGGATTGATGGATGTTTGTTATAGTTTGTAGCCTACATTACTGAACGGATTTCGATGAAATTTGGTATAGATGTTGAGGATAGTCTGGAAGAACTGTGTGTTCTAACTAACCATTTTTTTAATTCCATGAGGACGGGGTTGCGGGCGACAGCTAGTGTGACATAATGAATAGTCACTTATTTTAAAATAATGCGATTGCTATATTGTAATCGACAAGATGATACAAAGTTATCAAATACTGTGACCTCATCCTCCGAATTCAATGTTCATTGTTTCATTGTTGTTATAACATTATTAAATGGTCTAATCGTTTGTGTGTCTTGCCTCTACTCTACACATGCCGTCAGTTTCGACTACCGAAACATATGTATGAAAACATATTGTTATCTCTGTTGCTTTCAAAGGAATGAGAGGGATGAGAATACTTGTTTCAGAAATTAAAGGCATACACGAACAGATTCCGTCGACATATATGTTCAGGGGTTGAAAGCCTTGTTACTACGCTTTAGCTCACTACGCCGATGTAGGGCGGGTTTATCTCTGAATTACATCGTAGATATATGCATATTGCATCACGATATTTTCCTACGCCGTAAATAGTCAAAAAACATGTAATTATGAGTAGGTATGTTGGTATCAGGAATGTAAAAAAGATGTCAAAAGCCAAATGAAAATTAAATAACTAGCAAATTGCTCGTCAACGTGGTTTATGAAAGTTCATAAAACACATGGAGAGTGAGTTGAAGTTTATTTTGACACAATAGTGTAACGATTTCACTTAAACGACTTAACTTGTATATGTTTAACCTGCATCTATCCGGTTACAAAAAGTATCGTTGACTTTTTCGTTTCGCATTAAATATATTTACAAAA